ATTTATTGGCGAGCAATAAAGAGAAATCCTTCTCTAATATACAAAATATGTGTGATTGGATTAGCTTTAATGGAGAAAAATCTGTCGCTCATGAAAAGATAAGAGTGCGGGCAGGACCGGCCTGCATGTGGTAATGTTTAACGGATTCTAAACGGACATTGTCAGGACAGAAAACATTTCACTTATGGAAGAATAAGTACCCGAATCAGACAGGACTGGCCTGCACCCGGTAGTGTATAAATGATTCGATATGGACATCGTCAAGGCAGAATTCATACACCGAATTAGGCTCTTCGCGTCAAAGTGGTGAGATTAAGAGAACCCGGACGGTCACAGTCCGTTTTCAGCCCAGACAAAGAGGGGGCAAGGGACACAACCAAATGATCGCTTTGCAGACCGACTAAACTACTAGTAGGTGGCGAATACGGAGGATTGCGCCGTGAGCGTCGACAGACCGATTAAGGTCGAGGTGAAGTGACATTAAGAACCGCGAGAATCATCGCTATTGGAGAGGAGTGGTAGTGGTGCATTTAGTAGCCAATTAAAAACAGGGGTTGTAAAAATATAAGTGGGGATTTCAACTTGATCTACCATTAAATTCCAGGAGGACACTTCTCAAAGTCAAAAAGTTGAATGCTCGGGATTGAAACCGTAAATACTGACGTTATACTTTCCGGTGTAATGTCTCCCGGAATTGCTATTTGAATATCGATAACTTAGGCAATGACCCTAGTTCTTTTGGGAGATTATTCCAAATGAACGCAACTTTGGAAGCAAAAAATAAGGTGCATTTAGATGTAGTGGAATAGGCGGTAGAATCACCGTGGAGGAGGTACGCGTGGTATAGGACCGATTTCTCGGAGTGAGAGTGTCAATAAGCAGAAAACTGGGGCTCGAGTTAATGCAGAAAAGGAAGTAAAGACCAGAATCGAAACATCTAATCCATAAAAACTTTTTGTTGGCCAGCTAAAATTTCCGCGTTTAAGAAATACTGGATGCAACTTGAAAGAATCATTTCCAAGTGAAAACGATCCGAATATTTTCGATTTTTATTACGATCACAGGCGTTCATTTAACCAAAGAAAGGACAGCAGTACTCGAGGACTGGAAGGACAAACATTTGATAAAGTCTTAACTTCATTTCCAGAAGGAAGAATTATAGGTCAGTATAGGTCAGTATATTTTAAGAGTAATAGGCAATGCCTTTGAAAACCCTATTGTAAACGGTCCATGCAATATTTCACTTTAAATAAACATGGTACTGAAATGTTGTCAGTAATATACACATTTAACAGAATATTTCCATGAAAACGTAGAACCAAAACTTGAGAACATTCAGTTGTAGATGATTTCAGTAAAATGTAATGACAGTCATCCGCATTAGCGGTATGAGTATGCAAGTTGTTGGTTTAGCATCACAGAGCTGTTCTGTCCGGACAAGCGATAGTGTCCAAGCAAATATGCATCGAGTCTTTGCTTGAACGTCTCCGTGGTATCTGCCATTATTACGTCCTCGGGACGCCCGCTCCAGGCACCGACGACTCGCTGTGAAAAACAGTATTTGCGAACGTTCAGGCGGCATCGGGATCCTCTAAGTTTTAGAGAGTTCCCACGCAGGTTTGTTGTTGTGGCCAGGGTGAAGAAATCGTCGGGGTTTAGGGCACATTCCCGGTTCCTCAATATCCGATAGGCCTGTATGAGATCTCCTCGAACCTGCCTGTACTCAAAAGGAAAAAGTTTAAGTTCCCTAAGTCGGCAGTTGTAAGGTAAAGTCCTGAGGCCTTTTACAATTTTTGTTGCTCTCCTCTGAACTCTTTCTAGCAACTTATTGTCTTTTTTAGTCACGAGCGCCACGCTTGGATTCCATATTCCAGATGCGAGGGAATGAACGCTCCGTATACTTTTCCAAATAACTCTTTGTCTATGTCCACGAAAGATCGTTTAATGGCAAAGAGAACACTAGTTGCTCTTTTGGACGCCCTAACACACTGAGATGAAGGCTTAAGGGTCGACAGAATGTTAATCCCAAGATCTTTTTGTTCGGTTACATTTGAAAGGCACCTTCCACCAAGTTGGTAATGGTGATCCTCTCCGTCAGATCTTCCAGTCGTTTTGAGTCGCAGCGCGACGCACTTCTCTAGGTTAAACTTTAGCAGCCATTTGTCAGACCATTCGCATAGGCGGTTCAGTCCTTCTTGCAGGGCCCGTTCATCATGTTCGCCGTTGATCGCTCGCCATAACTTGATGTCATCAGCAAACATGACTCCATTGCAGTCCAGTCCATTCATACAGTCGTTGACATAAATTAAAAATAGTACTGGTCCGAGTACGGAGCCCTGTGGAACTCCACTCACAACTGGCACTGGTGCTGACTTCGCACTACCAATACACACAGACTGTGATCGACCAGTCAGAAAGTCCTTTACCCAGTTTAATAGGTTTCCCCTTATCCCTTACTCTCGGACCTTGTAAAGTAACCGGTGGTGTGGAACACTATCAAAGGCTTTCTTGAAATCTATGTAAACGATAGCGACCTTTGTTCCTGCGTCTAACGAGCGAGACCACTGTTCCGTTGAATGAAGCATATTAGTTAGGCAGGAGTGATTTCGTCGAAAGTCATGTTGAGAACTAGCAATGAAATTATTTTGTTCAAGGAACTTCATTATGGATTTTTTGACTATTCTCTCCATGACTTTGCAACAAATGCACGTTAGGCTCACCGGTCGATAATTGTTTGCACATGTTCTACATTCACCCTTGTGAATGGGGTATATGTTCGCCACTTTCCAATCAGAGGGGAGAATGCCTCGGTCAAAGGACGACCTAAAGATGTGCCAAAGCGGTTTGGCGAGTTCGTAAGCCAACTGATTCAGCACTTTTGCCGGAATTATGTCATATGAATCCATATATTTGCACAGCTTTGGCAGACATTCTATCAGCATGAAGTGATAAAGTGACCTTATTTGTATAGCTTGAGCCTAGGCCTTTTATGACAATGCTTTCTGAGAGTAGGCTATTCTGAAAAATTATGGGTCCTGGAAGTTTGGCAGGACCAAAATGCATGAAAACACACTTGAAAGACAAAAACTCCGTCTGCCATATTGAACTCCATCAACTTAAGCGTAGTAAATCGCAATCAACTTTTTAACACAAACGTTTGCGTTATCCTCAGAATAGACGAAAACACACCTGAAGTTATCGGCATAAATAAACGTTTGCGAATTTCTGAGTTCAGTCGAAATATCATTGATGTGAATAAGGAGGAGTAGTGGACCCGGAAACGTGCTTTGAGGTACGCCACATGTGATCGAGTGAGGTGTCAAGTAGCGAAAACCATCTTTGAATTTCGGATAGCGGTTGGATTGGTAGGAACTGATGGAATAGAGGAGTTCGCATGCCGAGGGTTTCCAATGTCGCCTGAACACGTGTATGTGGCACACTGTCGAAGGCTTTGCTAAGAACAAAGTAGATAACTACCACTAATTGCTGTTCATTTCGAAGAGAGGTGATTGGATTAAGTTAATGCCAGTCCCTTTTCTCATCAATAGCAGTTTTTTCAACTTACAAGTGCCACGTCTGTTGAATTTTCCTCCATGTGATGGCATCCTCTCATCCGACATCGGTGGAAATCTGTTCACCACTCCACTTCTTCAACTTTTTTTCAGTTCCTACTCTGGGGAAAGGAGTACAACATTGAGGTTGCTGTTAACCTCAAAGTTAACGGTTTCTGATTTGGACTGCAAATATTGTTAGGGTCACAATTTCTTCCTATTAACAAAAATCTCAACAATCAAGCGCATTCATGCATATCAAAAGCGTCTGCGCTTATACAACCATGCCAGCATAATTCTACTATTTGCCGCTACGCAGTTGATATATATTCTGATATTTCCTGTGAAATGGCATTCTGTGTAGTTTTTGTTATTAATATTTGGTATTGTTTTTAGATTAGCAGAAGTACTAGATTGTCTTATAAAATATCAAAGTCAGCGTCGATTCTTAGATTTGTTGCATTTTTCCGTCGCGGCTTGGATGATCTGACTGCAAACTGAGGTGCTTTTTAATGCTTATCTTCCGTTTTATACGTAGCTTGTCAGTCCTTGTGTTCAGTGCGGTGTGTAGTGGAAATGTGGACTTAGAAACTACAAACAGTAATATATGCAAAAGAAAACTAACTCCGAAAGGGGGAATTGTGTTTACCAACAAAAAAGGAATGTGCAGACTGAAAGAACCAGAAAAGGAATATTCTAGACTCACGTAAAGTAGAATCCTATCAAGTACAGAGATAGTGCCCCGATGAGAAACTGCTTGAAGGTAGGCTCTAGGTTCCGCGATGATACGTTGAAGTCGGCTTTGAGGAGGAAGTCTCCGTCAGCACGTACGAATTGCTAAGAGTATTGAGAGGTGACAAGCGCACGCCAAGAAATAACGACGTCAAACACACTCGAAACCAGAACACATGTTGCCCGCCGTAACGTTGTTCATGTGTGTATTTTCCGTTTAGTCGAACAAATGTACAGGCAGGTCAGGTGTACAAGAAAATGTAGTGAAACAAATCAACAGTGTACAAAGGCCTACAGGTGTGCAACTTGCCGCCGCAAACACATTGTTGGTAGTTTTATTGTTAGTAATCGGAAATTAAGTTCAAATTACTTTCCCGCCATGTCCTTTCAAAGGAATTACCTTACCTTCCAGGATCTGCTGGCAGAAACCCGAGATCATGGATATATAACTTCGCGAATTTGTCGTCGGGACAACCATTCCTACTGTCCATTCTATGCGGCTGCATACTGACACTCTAGCCCTGTATTTTCTACATAACTGCACGCCTTAGCTATTGAGTTGACCTTATGCCTAAATGGATTTCCAACAATTAACTTGAAAGTACTCAAACGATTCCACTTACCACCATTTCCTCAGACTTTAATAAATTGAGTCGTCCAACCAGGAAGATACAGTTAGCCCGCACGACTCGAGTTTCAGTGTGCGTCTGCACCATAATGGCCAAGCCATTGACTTTGCAAAGAGGTATGGCTTTCCTTTCATTTTTCAGACATAAAATAGACATAAACAGAGCCATTGAACTTTTGGATAATCTATTGAAATGTCCATCACTGCAGCCCGCGAAACTTGCTGCTTTGCAGCGCATATTGCAGTCAGATTTTCTAAATATGGTCCGTGAAGGGTATGAACATATATACCATGTCGTCGACATGGCCGGCCCTGAAGAGGTTTGTCGACTACTTTGTTTTTGAGACTTCCTCATCTTGCATTTACGTTTTCCTTACCTTTTTAACCATATTCTGTTAGCAATCCGTTTCCAGCTCCTTCTGACGTTAATTTGAGTGTGACCAGCTTTCTCCCGTACTGACTCTTATCAGTGTCTGTTTGGCACAATTTATCCACCAGTCTGCTCTTACAGGAAGAAAATTTATCAGGCAACACCAAAAGATCCATCGGGGCAGTGCTTGCACCATTATAGTCTGTCAGAAATGCCAGGGATTTGGCGTGTAAATAGAGCAGTGACGTACTGTGCGTCTACTAAATAAAGTTCTAGTCCAACTTCATAATGGCTCTAGGGCGGATCTGAGGGTTGAGAACTGTATGCATCCAGCTGGCCGGAAAGGTCCTCTAGTACTTACCACCAGTTTACATGTTGTAGAACTTTATGTCAAGTTTGCTCTGCTCTACTTCATAAATTCTTAGGGCATTCCGCGCCACCTATGTTAATTCGCACCCATCAGTAAGTTCTTTCGCTGACGTCGACTTCCATAAAATGCGATAAACGGCCTGCACAGTCGTTCTGTGTAGTCTGTATTGCCAAGATTGTCGTCGCTGTTATGTCCGTCAGATCCCTGTTGACATTTATAAGGAGCGTGGACAAACTTTTGTCCTTCTGTCGCCTATAAAGATGTACAAAGAAGGCTTTCAACGCGGGTGTTTAGGGAAAAGTCCCTTAAGAGCCATAGCATCCTTGTACTGATGATGCCTGAGATGTATTTTGAACCCTCTTAGCACGCACGCAAACGAAGATCGGGATGTGCTTTTTGAGAGGGGTTCACATGGTCGTGCTACAAAGTCTAGGTAGCGACAGTTTTTAAAACTGGGGATTTGCTAAAACCATAACCCCTCAGCATGTGAGCACGGTTGTCGTCTGTTGATATTCTTTGCTCCTACTCAGACTGCGGAACCGAATAAGATGTTTTTGCATGGCTTTGCTGGGCCGACCATTCAAATTACAGAGCAGTTTTGATCAAAATGATGAACGGTCTGCGTGCATTATACAAACCGGTGGACATTTTCACAGTTATCACTTTTAGGCTGAAATTTTTTGGTGTCTTATGTCTTTCTTGACGAATTATTTCCTGTTTTATATTTGAGGTGCGCGCAAGTGCTACAGCTAAGGCTACTGTAGCGGCCTTTGCTGCCAGTGAGGGCCATGCCCATCCACGAATCGTGGAGCTGCCGAAGACAGACGAGGGTCTGGGCTTCAACGTAATGGGTGGCAAGGAGCAGAATTCGCCTATCTATATCAGCCGCATTATCCCTGGTGGTGTGGCCCATCGTCATGGCGGCCTCAAACGAGGAGATCAGCTTCTCTCTGTGAACGGGGTATCCGTGGAAAATGAACATCACGAAAAAGCGGTCGAGCTACTTAAGTCCGCTCAAGGTTAGTGTTGATTCTGTCGCATTTCTGGACAACTATGCCGGTGGAGATGAGCGAACTGTTTTGTTTTGTCGGACTCGTCTCCCGGACGGAGTGGTAGAGTGCACAGTTTCTACTGTGAGTGAATACTCCACCGACACCTTTTTCGCAGTTCGTACGTACAGCGCGTGACCGATCTCATGAAATGTTGCCCAAAATTCTGGAATGCGTTTCCGATTAGGAAGGATTACTTAGGTGGGATTATCCTACTCATTATCAAGCAGCATAACCCTATAACATTTCGGACTCGCCAGGATGTCGGATTTTGAATGCACTTCTTTTTGACCTCCTGTAGAAACCACACTCGGTAAAAACAGACTACTTAAGTAGCATGCATTTTTCCTATTGATTTTCGATTGTCTTATAAATTCAAACATATTTTACAGAAACCATGCACAAAAAGTAAACTTTCTTTTGCTCATTTGGTAGGAAATCACATAATTTTCATATTGTATGCCCGAAGAGAGTGTGTACTTAAGTTCTAAAAAGTTTCTAATTATGAGATTTTTAAGACCGTACGATGTCCATGCATGCACGACCGCACATGTCCGTTTACTAATGCTCCTCATGAAATGTACAACGCAATCCGGATCCGTTGCAAAATTTCATGAACTCCATGTGGTATCATCTTAAAGGCATAGATGAATATATGATTTTCCTTACGCGGAAAGCGTGCACTTTGTGGACAGAAATTGCTAAACGCTGATGCAATGGCAGATCAGGCTGAAAATTATTCAGGAATCGGGAAACTTTTCTAAAACCTAAACAAACACTTCTGCGGGCATAAAATATGAAGGCAATGTGATTTCCTACCAAATGAGCAGAAGGAAGCTTACTTTTTGTGCATGGTTTCTGTAAAATATGTTTGAATTTATAAGACAATCGAAAATTAATAGGAAAAATGCATGCTACTTACATAGTCAGTTTTTACCGAGCGTGGTTTCTACAGGAGGTCAAAAAGAAGTGCATTCAAAAGCCGACATCCTGGCGAGTCCGAAATACATAGGGTTATGCTGCATGATAATGAGTATAATAATCCCACTTAAATAATCCTTCCCAATCGGAAACGCATTCCAGAATTTTGGCCAACATTTCATGAGATCGATCACGCACTGTACATATCTCGCAAGCCGGCTGTCACGTCCGACCTTTATGAATAGATATCAGCGGCGGCGCACTGTTGTTTCCTATAGTGGCTTCTAGTATTTCGAACGGAACCATCCTATCCACCTATCCCAAACATACTAGAAAAGTTCACGATCTTTGTCAGCATCTGCTATCAACGAGCTGTCCGTTGTACAACTGGGAGGTTTACTTTCCTTTTTTTTCTTTTGTCCTTGTCGACTGATATTCGGCTCAACTTTTGAGCAGACAAACGAAGCGGGGTTCTCTGCTGAAAATTTGGGAAACTTACACTTTTAATCGGAAGTAATTGTAGGCTATGCTGGTCTCATTGTTTTGTCGTTTCAGCTAGACGTCAGCACTGCAACCATAAGGGGAGGGGACAACACGACATCATGACTAGATTTATCCGTCTTGTTAAGTTGTACATTTTTCGTCCTTTCAAAATTTTAAGATGCCCTTCGCCTGCAGGTCCTCATAAGTAGTATCGCTCTTCATAGGAAGTGCTGCTTCTTGTTTTGGGTAATCTCGATAATTAGGATAAAATTCTGCCCAGTGCAGGCGACGAATTCTTTACGGCAAGACATGATACCATTGTGAGCTGGCTAGCCCAGTTCATGTGATTTGATACGTTTGGTATTCCTTGTACCCGCGTCACCGCGGTTCGTTTTTCCTCCTCTGTTAGGGCATATACCTCGGTTTTAAGTTTCAATTTGACACTAAGTACCTCTTTGACTTCCTTAAAGGCACCGTACGACTGGTTGTGCGCTACACGCCTAAGGTGCTGGACGAGATGGAGGCACGTTTCGACAAGCAGAAGACTCGGAGAAGGCCTCAGACGTGACATGTGCGTCCACCCCGTCCCCATCACCCTCACCTATCTATTATGGGAGGGGAAACTTGTCGCATTGCACTAACTGGGAATCCGTTTGATCTTTTTCGAACTTACAGCACTATCATCTTGTCCGGTCTAACACTGTTTTCCTAATTTGGCAAAATCAACGAGTTTCCCTTGTCAACCCTTTCTTTATCCTAACTAGTACTTTTCTTTAACCTCGATTTTATACTACTATGGTCATTCATGCCTGCCTGTGATGCATAACGTGTTTTTTTTCTTTATTTATACTTATTTCAACGGATTATACAACTCTTCCAATAGAAAACCCTTGTTCTCAGCTGGTATTCTCCATTAACACCACCTGAAGAGGATTTAGTCGCTGTAACAAGTGGTTTTTTGGCCCGACGTTTCAGATTCTCACTGAGACATTCGCAGATAAAGACGATGGAGGCGCGAAGATGCAGCCACTACGGGGGACAGTTTTTACGCCACCAAATGCTTTCTCTAATTGGCAGCTTCTACATTCATCTCTGGGACCCATATATGATACGATGATGGTTTGTTAGTCCGCAGCGGAGTCGTTAACTGTCGGAATTTATTCACCACTGTGAATTCTTGGGAGGCGGGGATCGTTGCGCATGTTGATCGTCTGGAATGTGCAAAATACGCGCTAAGAACTGTTTTTTTTCGCTTAGAGCCGAAACTTCTAGAATGTCCGCATGCACTGTCGAGGAGGATCTAAGTTCGACCGCTGACGTTTACAGAGTGCAGTGGTTTGCCTTCGTGCATCTCGCCGAATTGCAGGCTTTCGACAAGTGTTTGCGTGAATAACATCTAGAGACGAAACACCTGTAATCGCGAAATAGGCAGTGGTTGCTTTTTCGAAGGGGATGATTATGCCCTATTGATGCCCAATACACATTCTTCTAGATGTGTAGTGGACCATTTACTAGAGCCAAACGTTTACGGACGGGAATAGGTTCTATGTATTTGTTACCGCCAATTGACTCTGCTACGTTGGACCGGTGATTGCCTCTAGTCAGGACTAGTGGGAGCAGGGCTGAGATGATAGCCGGCGTCTGGGTCGTCAAAAACCGGAAAATCCCAGCCTGCGTCCCCCCTACTCCAAGGATTATTTGTCAATTCATGACGCAAATTCGGCTTTCTGCCAGTACTCGTGCCACGAGGATGGTAGCTTTGTGAGTTTTATTCAACTTCTTTTTTCCATTAAAATTCGTTGTCTGGGAGGAAACAAAATCGCGCTCTGATGCTCACGACTGATAGTTCCGCACAGAGGATGGCCACGTCTCCTTTCTGGTTTCCTTGCTGGAGAGCAGCTTCGACGCACTGGAATATAAGCAAATAACTTTTCTTCTCAATCCCAACTTTTGTCTGGAAAGTATTTGGACAGATAGAACAATATCCGCGCAATCTATGTCGACTGGAATTTTGATCCAAACATTTAGATTACTTGCGGCATCGTAGACAACACTGGAGTGGCGTGCAAACTCGTCATAAAAGTACACTTCGTATAAATGTGCACTTGTGGCTGATAAGCGTCTTAGAAACAATGCACTGGAAGAAAGGCGCCCGGGACAAATACCACCTCCACATAAAGTTTCCAATTTGTCCGCTAGACTGTAAGCCAGGATATTTCTGAAAAGTCCCGCCGTTTCCTTTTGAAGGGAGCCAAGAAAATATGGATGACACCTTGTTTCAAGAAAATTGATCTAATACAACCCGATTATTGGGAAAAATTCAAATACATTAAATTGTTTACAAAGAAATTCCTATGGCTGGATCATTTTTGGTTAATTATGATGGGTCCTTCAACTCCTAATATGAGCAACAGACAACGTCACTATTCTACGCACCAAAGGTAATATTCAATTTAACAAACAGTGGCGCAAGCCTTGCATGATCAAACAACACCGAAGCTGGAATTGGAATGACTTTCTGTCTTGCATAAGAAGCCACTATATCCAGTTCCTCGTTCGTAATGGGTAATTGTTCCTGCTCCACCACAAGGACAAGGCGATCTGTAAAAAAAGTACGCAACGTCATTAGCATGTTAAAGTTTTGCATATTAGGGATAGGTAGTGACAAAATATTGTTATGGTGACCAGTGTGAGAACTGACCAATGGTATTTCGATGTGGAACTGATTAACGCTAGTGGCTGCGCGATCAAGGAAGCAGTTGGTAAGAGGGGACACGATCGTTGGAACGAGGATTTCATTCGCCTGATGTTTCGGATTTGCACTCGAATCCATCATCAGAGACGACTGCAGGTGGGTGACAATGGGGTGCTGTATTCATAAGACGCTGTCACTATGCAACCGCACGCCTATCACAATACCTGAACAGTCATCGTGGAACCACTTACTACTTTCGGTAACGGTGTTGGCTTCGCGTCCCCATTATATTTGTAACCTGCTCCGTTAAGATAGTGAAGTACGCACTTTGCACATACCACCCTGGTTTGCGAAAAGTAATCTCCGGTGAACTTGATGGTAATGGACTGTGCTCAAACATTCACTAGCACATCTTCGGTTAAGTTGTCTTAGTTACGACGAACTATACATGAAGGAGTAGTCAAATGACAAACGTAAAGCAGTAGGCGATCTTTCCATTCTGGGAAAATAATTCAAATAGGTAATTTAGTTCAACTTGGTAGCTTTTATCATCAGAGCAATGTGTTTTTGCTCGACATAGCAGACTTTTGACAGCACTTTGCTTGTGAGAGATTGGGCTGTTGCACTCATAGTGTAGACTTACCTCCGCATATGTTTCTTTGCGGTAAACGGAAGTGTGTAATGTCCCGCCAGTCTTACGCTGTACGAGATCATCTAGAAATGGGAGTTTACTGTCAACTTCTTTTTCAAGCGTGAATTTCATTCCCGGAATGGTTGTGTTGATGGTATTGTGGAGCATTTCAAGTTGATCCTTTTTAACGACAATAAATGTGTCGTCCACATATCGTACACACAACTTAGGGTTAACCAATAGAAGAGCTGCCGATTCTAGTTTCTGCACTGTCACCTTGGCAAGAAAGCCGGATATAGGAGGTCCCACTGGAGCTCCTTTTAGTTGTTGATAATATTTTTGATCGAACGAAAAATATGTTTTCAAACAAAGGTCTATGAGTTCAAATAAGGCAGCTGCGGAAACATCCGTGTTATAGGACTTTAGGAGTTCATCTGTGCATTGCTTCGCGAAATCTAGCGGTATGGATGTGAATAAAGAAACGAGATCAAAGGAGATTATTATCTCATCCGCGGAATTGTTATTCCTCTCAGTTTCTCCAGAAACTGTATAGAGTTTCGAATGGAAGTTTCGCAATCTCACGTAAGTGGGTGGAGTTGGTGGAATAGCCACTTAGCGATTTTGTAAGTGGGTGAACCGACTAATTATACTATCGGTCGCAGTGGTACCTCAGGTTTGTAAACTTTGGGTAGTTCGTAGATCTTGGCGATGGTTGGCTCGGATTGTCTCAGGGATTTTGCAGTATCTCCTAACAGTTTTTTTTCGTTCCCGTGAGGCGCTTCAGCACTTTATCAATAGATGAATTCTGTCCCTTCTTAGGGTCCGTGGAAAGAGGCTTATACGTTGAGCTATCTTCTTAAAGCGACAGCACCTTCTCATTATATTCTAATTCGTTCAAAATCGCAGTTAAGCCTCCTTTGCCTGCGGGGAGAAAGACAATGTTTTCATCAAATTTGCGATTTTTAAATGCCTTCCTTTCTTCATATGATAGCGTTGAAAAGTGATTTCGATCTCTTAAGGCCTGTACAGTGTCGTTATATGTAGTTAATCAGACTGAGAATACCTATTATAAATCCATTATATATAATATAATTTTTGAGTAACGGGTTACCTTACTGCAAACACATAAAGGACATGTCTGCAGGTCGGTCTTAACAGAACTCGTATCTATGTTTTATCATTTCAAATAATCATACTAACTGCAATTAAGTAACACCTTAGGGCACCAACAGGTAGTCTTCAGGACCATCTATCGATGATATATAATTCATCCAAGCCTACCTTTATATGTCTTCAAGATGTTCTCCGCTCTGTGGACGTCTGCTGACTCCTCGTCCTTTCCCTCCTCCAAGGACATTCTTTGTGCCTCGGGTGCTACCACTCCTCTCGTCGCCATGCGACTCACCGGTAGCCTTTCTGACGCTGGCGAGACATTAAACACTTGAGCATGCTGTAGTAGGGTTTTAGGGCACACCTTCAAGGCCTCCCATTTTGCAAAACCGTAGGCTGTTTTTTCTCTCTGTAGGAGGGGTTGCAGTTTCTGTGCCTTTTCGTTCATCGTCACTTTAGAGACATCTGTGGAAGGTAGAGGGAGAAACAATTTGGTTTTCGGTAGGGTCCACGTTAGTGTAGCCTAGCTAAACTCCCCCTATCAACTGTTGTATGCTTCACATATTCCGACCTGACTACTTGTTGGAATTTTGTCTGGTCGGAAATAGGGCTCCCCCCGTACTACAAGTGGTTTTGCGCTAACTTCCCAGGGTACATATTCCCCTGTCATTACTTTGTTTCTGTCCATAACCCTAACCGTCTTAACCCTGCCCTGTACTACGGGGTCCTTGATCCCTGTCTAACCGGACTTTTTACCACACAAACTTAGGAAAATTTGAAACTCGTGCGACCAGGATGGGACCGAAACAACAGCCGTCCGAATTCACGTTTGGCGCTCCACGAGCCAAGTTACCAGTGCGTTTCCGAATTTCTGACCATGTGAGCATTCCATTTCAGTGCTGCGTCGTTAAAAAAAAATCATTTTTTGTAATCAGACAATCCAAACTATCTGAAGTATCCAGCATATTATCAAATCCAGCTGTCCATCTTGCGCGCATAAGAGGCTTGCCACCGCGATCTCGGCAGGACAGTTGACATACTACCCTTTAGGGTAAGGTGATACCATACTAACAGCACAGGTACTAGCCAAAAGCCCATACACGCGTGTTTCGCCGATGTTTTGCCGCTGCAT